TCTTGGGGGGGGGGTTAGCATATATATATATATATATATATATTTTTTTTTTTGTTTTAAGCTTCAATTTCAGAAAGGGCTTCAAAAGTAGGAGAGTTGAACATCGGGGTGTTCTTGAGGGTAAGGGGCATTAGTGAACTTTCTTGTTTAGGGTTGAGACCCTAAGATCCCTAAACCCTAAACCCTAAACCCCTAAAATCGGTTTTTCTTCTGAAGCTCCCAGGTTCTGAGTGCGGTCAGCAGCGAGTTGACAGACTCGCTCACGAAGTTCTCTCTGGGATCTACGGCGGCCTTGGGTGCTGTGAACTGTGTTGGCAGATGGATCACTGGCGATGAGAACTTTGACATGGTCGCGGCTGGTCTGAATGCCGCAGTTCAGGGACTGTTGGGCAAGATCCCGACCAGCAGCTTGGATGAGCTGCCCGTGTTTGAGACGGAGGCTTGCTTTGACATGTACAAGGCAAGTGTCGGAGAAGGTTGCTTGTGCTCCGTGGGCTGCGCTCGTAGGGAGGAGGATGCCAGCTGTGCTCCGAAGGATGGAAGCGCAAACCTCGCTTGTCAGACCGGCGGCACGTTCCTTTGCTTCCTGCTTGCTGCCTGGTCTTCCCTCCTAAGCAGGATCTGAGGCATCGCCGCGTGCCCTTTCCGAAACCATTTGGGCTCCTTAAAGGAATGCCTGAAGGTCTCGCAGCACGTATCTCTTAATTAACCGACAGGCACAGAACGTCAAGACTCAATGTGCATGCAACTCATGTGGGGTTGTTGATTGGCTGCGGCCGGGTGCAGCGAGCAGTGAGACGTTTAACGAATGGTCCTCTAGATGAATATGCTGCATGTGTATGCCTGCTTCCCGGAACATTGACCAACCAAAATGTTCAATAAGTAGGATGCCGCATACAAAGAAAGAGCCCTAGTTTTGAGAGCCGATTCTGCGGCTGGAAGTGGTGGCAGCGACCTTTCGCAAGACATGTAGCAAGCCACGTAAATGCTAGACGGTCAAGTGCTTGACAAATAATGACAAGTGGGACCCGGTATACCGGAGCAAGGGAAGATGAGTAAACGAGAGGTAGAAGCCAGCGTCCGTTAACAGCTGAACCAGTGATCTCCGGTCCTCTCTTTCGGAGCTCAGAAGCTGAAGGCTTCAGAGCCTGGAGGTGCCGAAAGGCAGTGCGAGTGTCGCGTAGTTGCTGTACGGCAGTCGTCAGCACTTGGCCGAGCCGTGCAGGTCGGGCCGGGGCAGGGCCCTCGGAGCCCGTCAGCTCGTTTGTACAGCAGTGTTGGGGAGATGCTTTCGTGTTGCGTGCCACAAAGGAATGGAGTCTCGGCTACTGCTGATGCATCTGCTGGCATAGGTGTTTCTTCCACTTGTTTCGTTGCTGTAAGAACCAAGTGGCGCACGGTCTGATACCGGCAGTACTCGTCAGGTGTTTCTCCCACACATACTGTCAAATTGGATGTGGTCCTCACGAGGGTTGGAACATTCGTGGTCCTATGTATCCACAGAGCGCGCGATTGGACTACAGGTCGCATGGATCCACCAATACAGTCGGCCCGTATCGCGGCACCAGATGAGGACGGCGATTTTCTTGTGTACTTGCGTGACACGTGTGGCACTCTGCAAGACAGACTTGCCCAGCGGCCTGCATGGAGCGTCTGGCGTCAGCGGCACGGTTGTTCTCGGAGAAAGACGACATTTTTGAGGGCGGGCTAAACGCGCTTTGGGCACACTGCCGGAGTGTGGACGGAGCGCTTGTATCGGCCAACTTCCATTTAGTTGTGCCGATCAGGAAGCCGTGATTCAACCGGGGTCTACACCGGCATGTTCAAGAACCGATTGAGGAGCAGATCGGAACCGGTTTTACGAAAGCCAAGTCCAGGTGAGCCGATTCAGGGACCACACGCCTGCTCGTACGCACCCGCACTCTCCCCGACTGGCGCAGCCGAACAAAATTAAAAATGATATGGTATAATGCTGCCTACTCCAGCACACATTTGCCTTGCATGCTCGCACGAACCGTGGTTGCTGCCCAAGTCGAGGAATTCCGGTACATTTCCAAGACAATCCGATCCGGCCTCAACTTTTGATTTACTGTCGATCTGCTCGGAACAGTTCGGAATCGTTTGTTCTTTTGGAACCAGGGTTTCCTCATGTCTGCGGCATGCGCATGCGTCTGTGTGTGTTGGCAGCAACCTCTCAACATTAAAAAACACAAAACAGACCGACAAACATGATTCCTTGGCTCCTACAACAAAACGCGCGCAAAGTCGATCGAGCCGTGATGCACACAATCATATGTTTTCGGCCGAACGGCGGTTTCTGGCTTTCGGCACATGTCTTCGACTACATAGACTCGTGTGTTGCACACACACATATATGTGTTGTAAACATGAAGAAAGCGTGATTCAACCCTCAGCTGCTCCAACGGGGCGTTTGGCAGCACAAAGTGGTGTGCTGTAGAAGCCAGGGGCAGTTGATTGGTGCATTTGGCGTGGAGATATTGCTTGCGCCAAATACACATGTGCGTCGCAGAAAAAAGAAAACTTTGGTTCAACGCAGTCCAGAGACAACCCATAGCTGAAACTTGTAAGCTCACGAGAACTCACATGAGCCTATGCAGGAGAAGTTCCGAGCAGATCAACAGTTGGGACTTGTTCAGATCTTCGTAGGGTAGCTTTGCCCATTTGTTCAATCTGCATTCGTGTTGCCTTCTGCTGACACATGTGTGGTGGAGCCGAGCCACGGTTCCCCGGTTTCTGAAATGCACAGGCGTGCGCGTGCGGTGTAAACAAGCTGATTGCGGTTTGCTGGCACAGCGGTGTAAACGAGGGGATCTCTGGTTCAAAGCCGTTTGGAAGAAATTCTGAGCTCGTGTGAAAGAGTATCCAGCAGATGTACGTGGCTGGGTTTCAACAACAGAGACTTGATCTGTTCGGAACTAACATCGGCTCATGTAGGCTAGGTCCGACCACTTGTTCCTTCTGGATTTCTGTTGCCTTGTGCAGGCAGCTGTGGTGGAACCCACTGGTTGAATCACGGACTCCTGATTTCTGCACCACATGCGCATGTGTGTCTGTGTGCACGCTAGCAGAAACATGTCAAGATCACTGCTTAACCGGCTGTGCTTACACTCGTGTGTTGCGCATTCAGACATGTGCGCTTCAGAAGTCCGGACACCTTGGTTCGGCCCCACGAAAGTTGGAATAGCTTCGGGTCCGATCGGAGCTGTTCTAGATGGGAGTTTCGGTCGCAACAGTTGGGACCGGGTCAGGTTTGTTCGGAACTGTTCCTGTTTTGACTCATGTTGGCTGGGTCTGACCTTTTCGGGCCGAGTCATGGGTTTTCTGGCTGTCGCCAACACAAGAAATGTGAGTGTTTCACATCAGCCGACAATGTACAATCACGATGTGTTCGACCACATGCACCTGCGTGTTTGCGCACACACACACACATATGTGTTGCAAACACGAGAAACCGTGGTTCAACGCTCTTGTGCCCTAACACACTCACATCACCGTGTGTTCGGCAACACAAACTTGTGTGCTGTAGAAGCCAAGGAGCAGTTGATAGGTACGTTTTGACGTGGACATGTTGCTGGCACCAAACACCCAAGGTTTAAACATGTTGAAGCCTGTGAGCTGACGCAGAGCAGCAGTTGGGACCTGTTCAGATCTTCCTCGAACTGTTCGCTAGGTCCTATCCTTTCTGTACACTTTCTGCTGACAAGTGTGTGGTGGAACGCAGCGGGGCCAAAGCTTGGTTTGCTGCTTCGTGCACATGCTTCATGTCTGTTGCAAGCAAGGTGATCACGGCTCGTTCGGTGCAATTCGACTCCACAAACTTGTGTGTTGCCACGCAGTTGTGTGTTGCAGAAGGAATTCGTGTCCAGCCTTATGTTTGTGGTCGACCCATGTTTTGCTGGTTTGAGCAACGTGCACATGTGCGTGTGAGATCGGCAGCAACTGCGACCACTGCAATCTTGTGTGCTGAAGAAGCCAAGGCACAACTGATGAGTAGCTGATGTGCTTGTTGGATGTCGGCACGTTGCCACCAGCACACACGTCTCTGGTGAAAGTGAGGGAAAATTGGTTCTCCTCACATAAGAAGCATCAACTTGGCAAGAATGCCGAGCGCTCACGTTCCATGCAATTTAGAAGCATCAACTTGGCAAGAATGGCGAGCTCACGTGAATCAGCATGCCGCAGATGAGCAGTTGGGACCGGTTCGGATCTGGTCGGAACTGTTTCTGAATCGGCTCACATGAGCTGGGTTTTTAATATTGGGGCTTGATCGGCTACAGTAGCGTAGGCATACGTAGGCCAGGTCTGACCACTTGTTCCTTCTGGATTTCTCTTGCCTTGTGCAGACACATGTGGTGGAACCGGTAACCCCTGTAAGGTTGAATCATGGATTTCTGATTTCTACACCACACCCATGCGTGTGTGCTGTCAGAAGGCATGTCGACATCACGGTTTGTTTCGGCTGCACACCCCCCCTTTGCCGTGCACGCAAACACATGTGCGTTTCAGAAACTAGGAAGGCCTGGTTCGTCACCACAACAGTTGGGGTAGGTTCGGATGTCGATTGGATCTGATTGGAATTGTGGCTTTGTGGCTGGCTAGGCTCACGTTGGCTGGATCTGACCTTGTGGAGTCCGAATCATGACTTTGTGGTTTTTGCAACGCACGCCTGCGTGCTGCAGCATCAGCAGACATTGACAACATGGTGTGTTCGACCGTTTCGGCGCACACATACGTGTTGCAAACATGAAGAAACCGTGGTTCAACCTCAGGTGCTCTTGCCGCACCATACTCACGTGTCCATCGTTTGGGGTCGACCAACGTTTTCCTGGTTTTAGCAACACACACACACAGACACACATATATATATATATATATGTGTGTGTGTGTGTGTGTGTGTGTGCGTGTGAGAGATCGGCAGCAACTGCGACTACTGCAATCTTGTGTGCTGAGGAATCCAAGGAACAACTGATGAGTAGCTCATGTGCCTGTTGGATATCGATATATGTTGCCACCAGCACACACGTTTGTGGTGGAAGTGAGGAATAATTGGTTCCACGCAAGTAAGAAGCATCAACTTGGCAAGAATGGCGAGCTCACGTGAATCAGCATGCTGCAGATCAGCAGTTGGGACCGGTTCGGATCTGATCGGAACTATTTCTGAAGCGGCTCACCCGAGCTGACGGACCGGTTTGACGGATTCCTGACTTCTGCACCACACACATGCACGTTTGCTTTCAGGAGGCATGTCCTCATCAATGTTTATTTCGACTGCAGGCACTCTCTTATGCTGCACGAGCAACATGCTTCCTCAAAGGTTGGTCGCACTCATGGTTGGGTTTCCTTGTTAACGAAATGCTGGTTGCATGTTCTGGCTGACACGCATGTGCCACCGGCTTTCCTAACATGTAAACAGATTGCTGCAACTGTGCATGTACGCAGGAGCCGCGTCTGGCTTGAGGCTGCTGCAGGGTTGTTCGGGGTACCAACAGCGATGACAATCAATGCGCGGCGAGGATTCTAGCTATGGTTACGTGTAATCACCACGGCTGGTACGTCTAGCTGATCAGGCCTGATACCTGCATGCACTGACAGTGTCTTTGTTGG